GTCACTACCAGATGTTACAGAGCTGCTGCTTACCTGTGTGATGTCACACACCTGTGATGACTCTTTATGTGCAGGTGTTGCGGTTGCTGGAGGATGTCGGTCTACCTGAACTCGTTATCCAGCTTGCCTCTCTGGCCATCACTGAGACAGTTGGCGACGCCCACAGTCAGGTAAGGGTGTGTGTCCTGTTGTTGTGGCAACAGATAAACATGTAAACATATTCGCTTTTGTGCGTCTGCAGGCGGCTCTTTGGACCCGGATCTTTAAACATCATCTGGACCTGGGACACAACAGCGAGGCCTATGAAGCTCTGACCCAGAACCCTGACAGCAGCATGTATGTTCTCACACACACATACATGTGCACATTAGGGGAACAGGTTACCATGGTGATTTAGCCACAGTTGATTTAAACTAACCCACCATCATTATGCTGCCACCGCCATGCTTTACTGTTAGAATGGTTTTCTGTCTGGTCTTTAATAGTGTGGTTTCTTGCGCAGTAATCAAATATTCACTTTGTCCTCCACAGTTTTGAGTGTTTTTTTATTTTTATGTGTTGAGCTCAAACTGAGCATTCTCATTTGTGCTTTATTGAACAGCAGGAAAGTATTCTGTACAGTTCTCCTTTAGCTCTGTGCAGGCAGCTGATTGTTTTCAGACTGCAGACCTGCAGCGTGTTCAGCCAGAAACCAACATCCCGCAGAACAGAGCTTGAAATGTGACTACTGGGCCAGGATTAAAGGTTCTGGTTGGACCACGTGTTTTCAGTCTGAACACTAACAGATTCAGAAAGAACTGAAGACGATTCAAACGTTTCATAAAATGTTAATCTGAGAAAAGGCTTTTCCATCTTGTTCCCACCGCCGACCTGGATGTTTGGTTCTGTTCCAGGCAGCTGGATTGTCTCCGTCAGCTGGTCGTGGTTCTGTGTGAACGCTCTCAGCTGCAGGATTTAGTCCAGTTTCCCTACGTGAACCTGCACGATGAGGTGAGACCTGACCTCTGACGCCAATGTACCTCTGCATCTCTGCAGATTAGATCTTTAGTGTTTGTAGCTGTTTTCAGTATCAGGCTTTATTATCAGTTTTTATTTTTATAAAATGTTGTAGTTCTGAAGCCTCTGAGTAAAACCTGCTGCTCATTAATATCTCCTTAATTTACTCTTGAGTTTTATATATTTTTATCAGATATAACGTTTGTGTCTGAATACGGTAGTTCAGATTTTCTTTCATTGATCTGAAGTGTTTAAGCTTTTACGACGGGTCGTTCTAATGAAAGTGTGGTCATGTGACCCTTAGGTGGTCAGCATCATCGAGTCTCGCGCTCGCGGTCTGGACCTCCTGACGCACAACTATTATGAGCTGCTGTACGCCTTCCACATCTCCCGGCACAACTACCGGAAAGGTGAGACTGCAGACACACAAACTTGTTATGTATCAACATTTGTGATGCTGCTCACTGTGTGTGTTTGTGTGTGCGCGCACTCAGCGGGGACCATCATGTTCGAGTTCGGGATGCGCCTCGGTCGGGAGGTTCGGACTCTGCTCGGCCTCCAAAAGCAGGTGAACTGTTACCTGGCTGCCCTCAACTGTCTGCGCCTCATCAGACCCGAGTACGCCTGGATCGTCCAGCCGGTAGCTGGGAGCACGGTACACACACACACACACACACACAGTGACACACAAACACAGTGACACACACAGCGTGGGTTTTGTGATTAACTGTGTTTTTGCTGCAGTACGAGCGTCCGGGAGCGTCGCCGAAGAGAAACGCTGACGGAGAGTTTCCTCCTGAACCAGGTGAATGAGTCTCACTGTGGTCTCTGCTGTTGTTGTGAGTCTGTTGTGAGTCTTTGGACTGACCTGGGCTCGGTTGTGTGTCTGCAGCTGCAGGTAGACGTCAGGTGGACATCCTGGAACTGACCGACCTGGAGGAGGAGTACTTCCTGTCCCAAGCCCGCCTCACACTCGCTCGGCACCACCTGCCGTCTGCAGCCATTGCAGGTGTGTGTGTGTGCACTTGCTCGTGCACTCCTCATCCAGATGTGTTTGATTTTATGTGTAGCAGCTGTTGTCTGTTTTCTACTTGTGAAGTGAAACTGTCCAATCAGCAATCAGTCCTGAGTCACATGACTGCAGCCGTCAGTTTTTTGTTTCCCAGCTGCATCATCCACCGTGGAGGTTCTGAAACTGACAGAACCCGAGGGGGTTTAGAGTCAGACGGATGTAGTTCCCTCAGAGTTCTTCTGGATCCGGTCTGGAACCAGACGGGTCATCCTGTACATCTTCACCCACTCTGTGTGTCACCGGACTGATGACATCTCAGACCCTTAAATATTGTTACTCCTCTTTTTGTTTTTCTGTCTTTGATCGGTGTCTCCGTCTTTAGGCAGCGCGTCAGCACCAGAACTTGTTCTGCTTCTGGCCCAAACGGGACTCTTTGACACGGCGCTGTCCCTGAGTCGAACCTTCAAACTGGATCTGAGTCCAATCTTCGAAGCTTTGACCTTCAAGTGAGTTCAGTAGGATGCTCACAGCTCTCCTTATCTCCCATTCTTCCTGCATCATCTGCTCATTTCCTATTTATGCTTCCCTAAATCATTTCCTTATTTTCAGGCATAACTTCCTTAAACCCATTATTTATGTCCTTTCCTCCTTTCTTACATCCTCTCCTTTTTTCCTGTCTTTATTACCTCTGCTTGTTTCCTTTCCTCACATCCTTGCGTCCTCTTGTCTCTTGTCCTCACTTCTTAAGCCCTTTGCTCATACACTATCCTTACTTTGTTGTCCTCAGTTCATCTCCTTTCCTTGTTTCCTTATGTCTCCTATCCTTGCTCTCTTGTGTCCTCAACTTGTTTCCTGTCCTCGTTTCCTTTGTTTTTCATCCCCTTCTGTTTACCTTTTGCCTTGTTGGCTTTATTTCTTGTTTGTTTGTTGGTTGGTTTGTTTTCATTTCTCGTTTACCCACTTGTTGGTTTATCACTTGTTCATTTGTTTATCTTTGTGTGTGTGTTTGTTTACTTCAGATGCATCCAGCTGCAGTTTGGGGGGGAGGAGTCTCAGAACGAAGCTTGGAGCTGGTTGGCTGCTAACCAGTTGGCAGTCATAAACACCAAAGAGACCAGGTGTGATGGGTTTGTCAACGATCATGTTGATTGATCAGCTGATAGCCAATCAGAATGCAGTTGTGACCCCACCCTTTGTTCTTCTTCTGTGCTCAGTGCCACTGATGAGGCGTGGCGCCTGCTGGCCTCTTACCTGGACAGTTATCCTTCCACCAACGGGCAGCATCATCGCCACGTCATCCACAAGCTGCTGTCACACGGAGTCCCACTGCCTGATTGGCTGGTTCAGTCCTACAAGGTGAGAGGGGGCGGGGCTTGTTTTTAAGGGATAATTCAGATCTTTTGAAGTGTGGTTCTATTGAAAGAAATTAAAAATGTTTCTTGGGTGGGCGGAGCTAAAGCTTAAAGTGTTTGAGCTTCAATAAACAAACATCTTGTGACGTTTAAAACACACAAATAAAACAAACAATGGTCACCATAGCAACCAGACATCCCACAAATAACAGTTTTTATGTATTTTCAGCGTCTGGATGCTCCGTCTTTGCTGCGCCTCCTCCTGAACTTTGACCTCCTGGAGGTGGCGGCCGAGTTCGTGTTGGAGTACGTGGATGCAGTCCTCGGGCGAGGACACCAATACTTTGGAATTGAGGTACAAATACTCAGAGTGCTACAGTAGTACAGCATGAATGTGTGTTGTTGATTTTGTTCGTTTGTCGCTACTTCAGAAGCCGCTGTCGACCACGTCTCCGCCCACCTGGCTGCCGTACACCGCCATCGATCAGCTCCTGCACGCTCTGAGCAAGACGCAAACACACAGCGGCGTGAGTCACTTCCTGTTTACGTCAGTTTTGTTTACCTGTGTGCGCATGTGAGTCTCACTTTGAAACATTTTTGTTTCAGCTTCACACCAAGCTTCAGGACAAACTAGACGAGTATCACAGCGTCGTGCGTCAGATGACCGAACGGCGGCTCACTCAGACGAGTCGCTGCTGAGATCAGCTGATCAATAACCTGATTTATTACTTCCTGTTTTTCCACCTGTAAATGTGTTGAATTAAAGAGTTTTTCTATACATCTAAGTCTCGTTACTAATAGATTGTTACGTTGGACTACAACAGATAAACCTGGACCACGTTGCCTCTGTCACTTTCAGTATTTGTGACTGAGGTGACACAGTGGAGCAGCGGTTAGAGCTGTTGGCCCACATCAAGAACTTTGCAGATTTGCCTATCGACTGGGACTTTTCTGTGTGGGGTTTACATGGTCTTGTGCACATGTGGATTTTCTCTGGGTATAGCTCAGAAAATGAGCCAACGAGTCTGTAGCCCCGCCTCCCCTCAGCATCTCTGACCATAACCTCTGGTTTTAAAGGGATAATCTGGTCATTTTGGAAGTGATGTGCTAATACTTATCAATACTTTATTGGTCAGACCACAGAGAAATGGAAAAGGAGGATGTCTTTGTCCAGGCTAAGCTTACAGCTAGCTAATGAAGGATATTTGTATGCTTGTATAACAATTATTTAAAATAAAAAAACATACTGGTGCGAAACCTGTAGGAGTGAAGATAAAGAGTTGACTGCAAAACTAAAAAAAGCCTTTGTTAGTCTTGTCCGGAGGAAGACATCTGTCTTTCAGGACTCCATTCTGTTCGGTGTTATCAGTATTTATTTCGGTGTGTACAGTTCTGTTTATTTCGATGGTGTTGATTCATGACAAGTCTCGGTTAAAAAAAAAAAACGTTCTCAAATCATCGCTGGTGAAAATTCAGTTTCCTGAACAGCACATATGTGACGGTGGTAAGAAACCTCCAACAGATCCAAGCTCAGGACAAACGGCCATCTGTCTCGATGGCTGGGGTTCAAGATCTGAAGGATGCAGACAATGGCTGCTCCAGGTGTAGTTTCTATGGTCCAGGTGTAGTTTCTATGGTCCAGGTGTAGTTTCTATAGAAATAATTACAAACACCTGAAATGGGAGTGCGAGTGAAAACATCAGCATGTGTGTGGTCAGACTCCAGCAGTCTGAGTGTAAAGCAGCAGAACTAAGGAATGCATGAAGAAACCCAAACCAACCCCAACTATAGGATTTATCAACCAGGAAAAAACAGCGTTAAGACGGGCAGAGAGTCAGCCTCACGGACAAAATGGAGGTTGGTTCCACAAGAACGGAGCCTGAGAAGTGAAAACTATAGACGTGAGTGTGTGTGTGTGTGTCAGTGTCTAGTTGTGTATTAGTGTGTAGATGTCTCAGTGTGTAGTTGTGTATTAGTGGTTGCATGTCTCAATGTGAACCAGTATTTGTGTCTCAGTGTGTAGTTGTGTATTAGTGGTTGCATGTCTCAATGTGTACCAGTATTTGTGTGTCTCAGTGTGTAGTTGTGTATCAGTGTGTAGTTGTGTATTGTGTGTAGTTGCATGGCTGTGTGTAGTTGTCTCAGTCAGTATGTAGTTGTTGTGTGTTTCAGTGTGTAGTTGTGCATTAGTGTGTAGTTACATGTCTCAGTGTGTAGTTGTGTATTAGTGTGTAGTTACAT